ATCTATTTAGGAGGCACTTCAAAGATCTCACGTTCAATGAATGTTTTGGCAGCTTTTATTTATTTTTGTAGAAGCGTTTGTGGATTACCTACATCCAGAAACGAGATGACCCTGACTCACAACAACAAATAAAAACATAAACTAAAAAGTCTTGGTCATCTTGACTGAAACTAGCCAACTAGCAGCACAGACCTCATGATTAGGTTTTAAAAAGAACATTTTTAAACCAGTAAAAAGGCCAAACTTTTTTTGTTGTTGTTTAAAGTCTTGCTGTTTTTAAATTGTTTTACAAGAAAAGAAGGGCCAGATAAGGAAGTTCTTCACTCTATTGGAAACAGATGGTTAAAAATTATCATAACTCAAGGAGCCCATTCAAATGCAGGTGTTTGTGGGCAGCTATGAATGGCCAAGTACTATGAAGATAACAGTCATATCACAGACTTAAGCAGGTCTTCCAAAAACATACGATATAAAATGGAAGACAGAAAGATTATCATTCAAGGAAGGATTGCAAGAAAAATGGAGAATAAAATCCTGTTTTGCAGAAGTTCATTCTAGGCCCTAGGGGATATAACCCCAAGTCCTCAATTTTGGATATTATATCCTCAGTTAAAACCAAGTAGATTAAAAGCTGGGCTTCCTGCCTGGGTAGGGAGTTTGACTAGAAGACTTCTAAAACCCCTTCCAACTCTGTTATTCTATTCTTCTTATCTAACTGCACAACTTGAAGATCAGTTTAGGTCAGAATATTGACTAATACGGTTCTGGGTAAGGCATCGCATTTATCATGATACAAGTAATTCTCAACTTACAACAGTTCATTTACTGACGGTTCGAAGTTACAACGGCACTGAAAAAGTGACTTATGGCCAATTTTGACCTTCTGACAAGCAAAATCAATGGGGAAGCCAGATTCACTTAACAATCGCGTTACTTAACTTGACAGCTGCAGTGACTCACTTAATGACGGTGGCAAGAAAGGTCTAAAATGGGGCAAAACTCACTTCACAGCTGCCTCGCTTAGCAACGGAACTGTAAGGCCTTTTAGTGAAACACCATTTGAGGCAAGCTAAGTGTTTTGTACATCTGTTCAAACTGTGAAAATAACTCAATAATTTACAGTACTTCAGCTGTTCCTTCACTATGAGCCAGGTAAAATTGTTATACAGAACAACAGAACAGAATAATGGAGTTGGAAGGGACCTTGGAGGTCTTCTAGTCCAACCCCCTGCACAAGCAAGGAGACCCTAAACCTGTGATGGCGAACCTATGGCACGCTTGCCACAGGTGGCATGCAAAGCCATTTGTGCCGGCAGGCGAGCTGCAGGCAAACTTATCTCACTGCGCATGCGTGCACCCACAGCTGATTTTCGGCCAGTTTGAGGCCTTTTTTGTACTCCCAGAGGCTTGAGGAAGGCTTCTGCAGGCTTTTCAGGCCGAAAACTAGGTCCGTTTTATCACTTCCTGTTTTTCCAGAAATACCGGAAGTGACAAAACAGATCTAGTTTTCGGCCCGAAAAGCCTTCACAAGCCTTCCTCAAGCCTCTGGGAGGCTGAAAAAGGCCTCAAACGGGCCGAAAATCAGCTGTGAGGCACAGTGCAGGTAAGGGGGCAGCGTGGGTGGGTGGGGATTGTGCACACATGTGTGGGGGCCGTGGGGGGCCACTCATTGCCTTCTGGGTGCTGGCACGCGAGTGTGCAAGCATGAGCACAATTTTAGGCACAGGAGCCCAAAAAGATTATCCACCACTGCCCTAGACCATTTCAGACAAATAGCTATCCAATCTCTCCTTGGAAACCTCCAGTGATGGAGCACCTACAACTTCTGGAGTTCTGTGTAATATTTTTAAGACACCTGTTAACTCTCATTTAACTTTACTTTGAATGGTTCTTCATTATTTCCTTCAATAAAAATATCCTTTTTGTTCTCAGTATGCATTCAAAATCTTTTTGAGTGAACTTCTACATGAAGATGAAAACTCAAAACAGCATATGTGGATTTCAGTCCTTTTAGAAATGCGAAGCAATGCTACATAAATTGTTCCAGATCCTGCAAAATCCTAATTCAAAAGACCTTGATTCATAAATAGGAATAAAATAAATATTCTCAGTACTTTTGCCGTAGTTCTGTTTGCCACAGCCTGTCTCTTAAGTTCTGGCTCAGGTTACATCTCCACCTCAACCCCCAAACCTGAAAAGTTGGGATTTATATACAGGTAGTCCTCGACTTCCAATAGTTCATTTAGTGACTGTTCAAAGTAATGACATTACTGGAAAAAAGGGTGACTTATGACTGTTTTTCACACTTAACGACCATTGCAGCACCTCCGTGGTCACATGATCAAAATTGGACTATTTATGCCGGTTGCAGCATCTCGGGGTCATGTAATCCCCTTTTGTGACCTTCTGACAAGTGGAAGTTGTTACTTCTAGTAGCAAGTTGTTACTAACTTAACAACTGCAGAGACTCAATTAACAAGAAAGGTTGTAAAATCGAGCAAAACTCACTTAACAAATGTTTCATTTAGCAACATATATTTTGCAGTCCGTTGCGGTCGTAACTCAAGGACTGCCTCTACTTACTAAGCATCCACAGTATGTGTCCTCTGGGTAAGTAACAGTATTAATCACAGCTAAAAGTTGCCAGCTTTACTTAAATCGCATGACAAAACCATAGAAGCTTAATTAGATTTTATGTAATGCTAAATACCAGGCATGGTTGGATCTCATGTTGTTTTGTTTTGTTTTAAGTGAAAGAGGAAAGCTTTCATTTTAGTTGAAAGAGGGTATTTTTTTTTAACCCTTTACCTTGAGCAAATAGCAAGTGTCGGAGGGGGGGAAATCACAAATGTACACAAATTCAGTCTCTGCTGGTTCTACAGAAGAAAAACCTCAGGGCAATATTTTATGGCCTCAGCCAGCCTAATTTAATGGGAACTCAACTTCTTAAAAAGACGTTTAGAATTGCAGGCAATATTGAAGTCCGATATTAGTGTCTGCTTTATTACAAATATTCATTTCAGTTGCAATCTGTTGCTGAATAAGATCATATAATGGGAGGGAATAAAGCCAAAAATAACAGCGGTAAATTACAGGTAGTCATCAACTTACAACAGTTAATTTAGAAGTTACGATGATGATGATGATGACACTTGAAAAAAGAAACTTACAACCAATTTTCACAATCATTCCATGGTGAATGATTCCCTTCACTACTGTGGCAAGAAAGGTTGCAAAATGGGGCAAAATTCACTTAACAAAGGTTTCACCTAATGATGGAAATGTTGGGTTCAGTTGCAGTCATAAGTTGAGGATTAGCTGCCTCTATAAATGGAGAACTGAATCAAGCTGGACTACAAAAAAAAATGGAATTCCTTTTGTTTTCATCTGCACGTTTGGGACAGTTTTAGCACAACACACAAAACACTGCTAACCCTAATGTACCATTGAAAGATCATAAGCCATTTTCTGTCTCAGCCAGTCCTACCTCAAAGGAGTGTTGTTAAACCAAAAACACAAAGAGTGGGGAACAGCAAGAAAACTATAGATGCAATCCACTTGAGATTGTGAGATAGAAATGAAGCAAAATAAAACTAATTAAATGTTATCCAACTATAGTGTAGAATGGGATGGGATGGGATGGAATGGAATGGAATGGAATGGAATGGAATGGAATAGAATAGAATAGAATAGAATAGAATAGAATAGAATAGAATAGAATAGAATAG